TCTCGATTTCAAATCAAAAGTTGCTGAATCATGTTTTGAATCGGGCCTGAATTCAGCGCTCGAGACACGTTCTCACTGAGCCGATTGCAGCTACGCGATGTCGCCCACCAATCCGACGAATTATAGCAACCGCGCGCGCGCGTGTGCGTCGTACCGAACTACTAACGGAAATTTCCAACGGTGCTTCTTAAGACGCACCGTTGGAAAGGCCTTCTTTTGTTGATTTCTTCAAAATGACAGCTTACCAGAAAGAATAATTTCACAGGGAGTTTTAATAGTCCCCTTACTATCTTTCAACCAATTATGTTTTTTAACAATAATTACGTAAGTTAGTTTCTGGATAGCTGCAAATGATGGACTCTGGCTTTAAATCATCTAGGCCTATTCGGATTTTGACGGAGACATCCTGAGCGAAGTGCCCTTTAAATGTCACGCGACTTGTACTGCCGGTTGTTAAAGAAATCATCATCGTTTTTCACCATAAAATCCTAATTTCTTTAAAAAGGGAGCATATTTAATTTACTAGCATAGGTTTTTTTTTGTACAACTCACCGTATTCCCCAAGTACGTATAGTGATTCTCAAAAGTATCTGTTTTCGGGCAAGTGGTAAAGATGTGAGTTTGCCATAGAGCTATATTAAATTTAATATAGCTCTATGGAGTTTGCGCACGTACGGCCACAGCCTATTTTTTTCACCATCCTCTGTACGTACAATTTTGTGGAGCTTGGGATGGAAACAGTGTTCTCATTTCCATCAATTTAGCGATGGATTAAGTGCTTAATTGCAAGCAGCACCATTAATTTCCTTCAAAGGAAATGGCTGTGATGAATTGCAAAAATGCAGGGTCTTATAAAGAGACACAATGCATTTTCAGAGAGAATAACATGGTCTTCGTTACACGGAGCATTCTTCAGCCTCAAATATAGACATCAACGTATTATTTTATGTTTAACGATCAGTTTCATCGCGAACTCTTTGTACGGCGGTTGTTACATGTACTTCCTTGTTGGAAAAAAAACAGTTTTCTTTGCACAGATTTCCAAATCACTTTCGCTCTAGTCTTATTTATGTAGGCATAATGCCCAAATTCAATCATTCATATGAACAAAACAAGGTTGAACTTTGTCTATACTACTATCAGAAAGCGAAAGAATTATATTGTAAGGCGTGATGTTTTCCGGCGTTCTTCTGTACCTACGAGTCTTTCCTTGGCCACTGCAGCTTATTCGTGCGTTACTGTATCCAGTAACGTATACTCTTCATGTACAGGACCTACTCTTCATGTATACTCTTCGTGGTATACTCTTCATGTATACTCTTCATTGTATACTCTTCATTGTATACTCTTCATTGTATACCCTTCATGTGGATGTATACTCTTCATTGTATACTCTTCATGTGGATATATATACTCTTCATTGTATACTCTTCATTGTGTACTCTTCATGTGGATGTATACTCTTCATTGTATACTTCATGTGGATGTATACTCTTCGTGTATGCTTTTTATGTATACACTTCATGTACAAGTATACTTTTCATGTATACTCTTCATCAGTGGCGTCGCTAAGGGGGGGGGGGGCAGGGGGGGGGGGGGGGGGGGCACGTGCCCCCCCTGGAAAACCTAGTGCCCCCCCGAGTGCCCCCCATCAAATGCTGGTGCCCCCCCCCCCCTATCCTCTGCAAAATTCTGCGCGTTGTTAAAATCATTACCTCAAAAATAGCAATTTCTGGAGATATATTCAGATCGAATTTAACATCAAATGTGGCACCATTTAGCATCTAGCCCATCCTCCGTATGCGAAAATTTTACCCCTCCCCCAGGACGGCGATACGTATCCACCTAAGTGCCCCCCCCCCATCAAATGCTGGTGCCCCCCCCCCCCTGTGGCCCCCCCCCCCCCAGACTGAAAAGTCTGGTGACGCCACTGCTCTTCATGTATACATGAAGAGTTTATTTCCAAAGTGCGATATGCCATTTTGTTCCCTTTTTACTTAGAATCCCGCTCTCTCCTAGCTGGCTGCCCAGAGTCAATTTCGACGCTGTAAGAAACAACTAAAACAAAACCTAAGAAAACAATAAAGCAAAAAAATTAAAATTAGAAACAGCTGTAATACTGTGTTTATTCTTTAAAGTTTTATTACCTTGCAAATTATTCACTTATTTTGAAATGGATATCGCGTTTCAGAACTAAACTCTTCGCATGTAAGTTAGATTACAGAAGACATCTTGTAAGAAGTTAGGCATGAATTGCAGTTTTTGTAAGTATTACGAAGACATTCCCATGAGAACCCCTGATTTCGCTGCCAGGCATCCATCAGTCAACATACCTCAGTGGATGCGATTTGACCTGCCCTTTTCAAACATTTGGTAATGGTACATTGTGTAATACATGTACTATTGAAAAGAATGCACAATAAAACATTCTGGCCAGACTCTATGGCAAACTGGACTCTTTTAAAACGGAACCCATTGCATCCATAAAAGGAAGAAGGTCATCAATTAGATCGATCTGTCTGTCGATCTCTTCGCAATACTTTGAGGTACGATGCAGCACATCTAAAAAGGTAAAATCTTTCCCTTTCGACCAGCCGGAAAATCAGGAACATACATGTGACGTTAACTCAAAATTACACCTATAGAGGAAAAAAGCGGAAAAGAAAAACAAACAGTTATGTGGTGTTGACCAAGCATTCAGGGGTCGGACTTAGGAACTCAACTCAATGAGCCCATTACCGACTCCCATATAGGACTCTTCTGGGCCATTGGGTTTTCCGGCCGACCACACCTCCTTCCCTGTCCATCCATACAATCCCCCGAAGGGTCAAGCACCATAAAAGGGAGGAAACGAGGCGGCACCCTAAGCTTGCTGCTGAGAACAGCAAAAGAGCCCGTACCTTTACAAAAATGCTAACCTGGATTTCGCGGACAATACCAACTGTTGCATGAGCTAACCGAAGCAGCTATTTAACTCAATATTGGTATTTTACCACGGGAAATTAACACTCATATATTAAAGGACTGAACGCCTGCGTTAAAAACCAAAAACTTTGCCAAACTGTAATAAAAATAAGTATATATTTCGCCTGTTTTGAGTTTCATAGTATCCCAAAATTTCGTCTTAGTCATGCAGGTCATCTGTGTATGAATTGTAGATGCGATTTTATATAGCTATATGGAGAAACTACCATGGTCTGGCCGGAATGAACACAAAGATTCGTCATCTTACTTGGGGCTGTGACCGTCTTCCCATCCCAGGGGCTTGACCCCTCCCCCTCCCCCCAATCCAGGCATGTCAACAGAACGGAACAAACAAGTTATATCGGCCCGGGGACTCTGGGGTGAAATCCAGGGGATTCTCGCTAGATCACGCTGTCTGGAGCTGATAAATCCGACCCGGCTTTCCCTTACCTTCTCCTGGTAATAACTTGGTTCCCCCTTTAGTTTTTTTTTCTGGTAATAAGCGATGCGAATATTCAAAGTTCCTTGGGGCAATATATTATGGCATCTTTGACTCCGTGGCATGTCTACATAATTGTCTGGCTTGGCAGACTCACAACGCTCCAAGGTGTTTAAGATATACACATCATTAAAGTTTATTTCATTATCTTTCATCTTCTTTTAATTTTTTTTTTTTGGGGGGGGGTAATCCTATGACTTTGGGAGAAATTTCCATCCGAAGATGATCACCCTTAAAAGTAGTCCCGAAACCCATCGTCATTTTGAAAAATGATGTCTACGCTCCGCAAAATAGAGCAAATTTGGGGCCCAATTTCATCCAAATTTCACAGAAATACGAGCTTGCAGTCCTGTTCGCGGTTTCTACCCTTCTTTCTTACAGACTCTCAAGTTCATGACCCACAAAATGCTCTAATAGCAGAGAATTTGAGGGCATGCATGGTGATTTGGCCGGTGTTTTGGGCCTTTAGTGGCCTGCGTCTCTCTGTGGACCACACTGCACGAGACAGACGGTTGCTATGCCATGGGTCCCAAAAAACTTAAGAAAATTAGCAAATAAAATATATATAGCAATGAACGATCGTAAAAAAAATGTTAAATAGTTTTGCAAATCTACGCATTGTGTGACATCAAAATGTTTTGCAAGGTTGCATTGCATGATGGTCAGTCTTTAAGTTTAGCTACAGTTTCATTTCATACTCCCCTCATGAATACCTATGAACTCTTAAAAAAGATCAACTTCTTTGGAGAGTTGAAACCCCGAATAGCGTTTTAATTTTCAGGTTTCCAGTTTTGGCAACACCTACAAGTACAGGGGGTGCATACCTATGTTCCCCAATACCGATGTTCCCCGAAATCCTTACCCTAACCCTGACCCTAACCCTAAGGATTTCGGGGAACATCGGTATTGGGGAACATCGGGTAGACCCCCACCTACAGTCCACCTACAAACAGTCAATGTTTTACGCAGTCCTATATTTATAGCATTGAACGAGTTCGGTCAGCCCTGGACGCTTTTATTTTTAGACCACTGATGACTCAGCTTTCAACTTGGGCTGAGAGGGAGTGTTGAGCATACTGGCTAGTGACTACTTAACCCCTTTTTCCTTCCGTTCTGAAGGACCAACTACTAGTCCCAAGAGTGCAACGTGAAGGTCATTTTGTCCCATATTTTGGCAATTTGAGTGTCTCTCCTCCCACCCATTGGGAGCATTTTTGTTGGTTTTGGTTGGTATTTAAAAATGATCAACAATTTACAAGGACGAGGCAGCCCCCCCCCCCCAAAGTTGCCCCCTCTATAGACCATCTGGAGTGCGCCCGCTCGTGGCCCACATGGATTTCGCGTCCATGCACATCTCAAACGAAAACTTAAATTACACTTTCTATTGGTTATACCTTCGTATTTCAATCACAAGAAAGACTGTTTTTCATTCTTTTAATAGATAGATAGATAGATACAACTTTATTAAAATCCAAAACTGGAAATTACATGTTGTCGTCCCTCATTAGGAATATAAAAAATACCCACATATACAATCTTGCCAATCTTGCCAAGCTTTATTTGCAACATTTTACACCCTTGCCAAAATTTCTATATGGAGCTAAAGCATATCCAAGCTAAATAGATACAGGGACGGATCTAGTTTTCAGAAAACCGGGGTGGGGGTGATATAAAGGGTGGGGGTGGTTTGAATCTAAGGCATGCCTAGGCCTGCTGGTGGGGGTGTCAGGGAGCATTTCCCGGGAGGGGGAAGGGTTACAACGGGGTGGGGGGGGGGAATTGAAACCACCTCTACCCCCCCCCCGGATTGGATCCACCACTGAAGTACACATAGTTAGTTCACAGAGTCAATTTATTAAATAGAAAAGTTTAATTTAGCCTCACTTTTTCCCGATTTAAGTTCATCTCTTCTAATCAGAGGAAGCATTAGCCGTACTGGTGTAACTTTATGTAGCTACACAGTCTAATTAACTTAGATGACATAATAATGCGGCATTCACAAGATTTTCCGTTGTAGTGTGAAATTTGGACTCTATAACATACACACTCATTGGTTGTATTGCACATGCCTATAAGGGCACTTGTGAGGGTTAGGGTCCATATAATGTAAAAGAGACCAGATTTCATACGAATCCAAATTTCACATGACACCGATCCCATTTTCTTGGGTGTCTTTCATAAATTTGTGCTCTTGTGCTCCTTCAAAATATTCCATTATTCACTTGAGTTTATTCATTAAAAAAACCTAAAACCACAAGAATAATACTGAACACTTCTCTTACTCATGCCCACTGAAAATTTCTTAAATTAATCTTTGAGATGATAATGAATACATGGTTTTAAAAACCATTAAAATTTATAATAATTATTTATTTACAAGATCGATAACATTCTTAATTGACTTGGAATGTATTTTATACTTGATCAATTATCATTTAAACTTGTTTACAACACAGTTGTTTTCTTTAAACAGCTGCCGATCACGAATCAAGGGGATATGTATAACCACTTTTTCTCTGGTCCTTAGGAGTACACAGGTTTCTTAAAAGGAACCTTAATTCTCGCAGATTGTCCATTTAGGGAGACGCGTGTTGCTAAACAGTTGCACTTAGGGACACAAGGTTTGAATGTCTGCTAAATGTTTAAAGTCCTATTTCTAGGAATAATTTTATGGTTGCAAAAAGCCCAAATCGACTCCACATGATGCAACACCCAAGTTTACAAAGTTTGGTGAGGGTAGATTAAGTTTACGCATGTAAGTGTCTAAAGTTCAGAGTTTTTAGTGCACAAGTCTATGAGAATGTCTCCCAAATTCTATGGGATGTCAACCAAAGGTACCATTTCCCGTAATAATAATAATAATTATTATGAAAGTAAATCAATTGCGTTGTATTTTCCTCGAAAATAGAGCATTAAACAGAACACCCCAGGAGGCCAGTTTTACTTTTAGCACTTACCATATCAAGTAAATAATTTTATAATAATGTAACCCTAAGATGAAAATTACCACCAAACCAACAGCCATCGACATTACTCCTTCACGTTTTTCCCACACAATATAATGTGCAGCATTTTTTCCCACATGGTCAGTGGTATCACAATAGGCTGACGTTTTGTGTGACTGTTCATTGTGATTCAATGTTGCAGCCTACATGTTCCAGCCGTGAGTGTCCTACGCATGTGAACATATATTGGCTTTTGCGCACACATGTCGGACACTAAATACGGTTGTGATTGATCAGAACACTGCGCGAGGGGCGGGGCTGGGTTTTATGGATTGGTCTATTCAAATGTGACCTGCTCCAACAAAACCCACACAAAGCTTAAAATTATTTTAGGTTTGGACATTTTAAATTCCCGAGGTTTTCAGCTTCAAAATGATGTATGATTTTTAATAGGTACTGAGACCCATCACCCCTGGGGAGAAACGATTAAGTGATAAAACTCTGACAACAAAATTATGAGATAAGCATGCATATTGAAACGCTTTTTCTATAAATTTCTATACACATTTTTTCACTCAATCGATCAAAAACACACTTCTGCTTGATGGAATACATTCATATTTGAGAAGCTGTAAATTTATAGTTACTGATTCAGAAATTCTCAAAATCTTAAAACCTCAAAACAGTCAGTTCCACCCCAAAATGACTTCACATGCACTTTGTGCAAGAACAACATCAGCACCTTTGTCTGGGTTTTCGTGGGAGCAGATCTCAATTTTTGATTTCAAGATTGTGTGAATTTTCACACCGGCGATTCCACATCGCCCATTTCCACATAGACGCTCTTGAGCTGCGTGTAGCTGTTCAGCGTGACGGCGGCATTCTCTCTGCCTAGCCCCGACTGCTTGTAACCACCAAACGGCCAGCCCACCGGGTACATGTTGTACGTGTTGATCCAGCAGGATCCGGCCTGGAGGTTCTTGATGAAGCGGTGGGCGCGCTGAATGTCCCTGGAATGAATGCAATCAGACACAGGAAAACTTAAAACAAATTGCATTGTATAGATTTCCTAAAGCATGTGGCATTATCTGCTCCGTTCACAAGTACCCCCTCACCGACAAAGAAAGTACAGTTGGGGGTGACCGACACCGACGCCATCTTGCCCGACTGCAATAATTTGCCGACGCGCGGTCGTACCACCACTGCGTGTACATAGTACAAATCCCCTGGTGAACGTGCGTCACACACAAGGAACGGTGCGCGTCTACCAGCTAAGTGTCCCCCCCCCATGGGATGTCAGTGCTAGGTAAAAGGGCGCCCTCTTTCGTTGGCGCACAGAGCCCATATTGAAGCCTTTATAGATTTTCTAGGGAATTCAATGAAGATGGGGAAACATTGGCAAATCGAGGTTTTGGATAGAGGGCGAAATGGGGATTTTTATTTTAAATGAGGCCCCAAATTCCTTGCTGGTTAATTCCTTGCCGGTTGTGAAGTGCTGGTACTTTAAATTCCTGAAAAATATGTTAAACAGCTCAAAAAAAAAAAAAACCCCAAAAACCACCCTTAAAATAGCGCTTCACCGAGAGGCATGTCGGCCTCCCTTCTTAGTGGAGTACTAAGAAGGGGGGAGGGGCAAACCCCTATGGCCTAGTCCCCCTTGATGCAGCCCCCCCCCCCCCCCCCCCAGCACGGTTGATATATCGATATTGCTTGATTAAACAATATAATTTTGATATCGATATCGCTGATAGAAATATTTTAATTATATCAAAATATCAACATTTTCGATATTGAGGACTATCATATCGAAAATTTGAAGAAGCGTCAGATTATTGCCAAAGTGTATCTCCTATTTGTGCTTTTACTTTGTGTTTAACGTTTGCTGTATAATGAAATTAAAGTCGACGGCAACTTGTGCTTGTGACTCAAAGTAAAAACATCACGAAATTGGGGCTGGATAGCTCTAGAGATAGCTCCAGAGGCGGACTTAAGTTGGGTTCCAACAACAACCATTTGGGTGGAGCTAGGTAGCCCTGGAGCTGTCACCGGAGGGCGCCCCCTGTCTGAACGACATGTACTAGTCTGGGTTACTTAAAAAACAATATGAAGACAGGGTAAACAGGCAGCTGCAATAATGGCACTGTGGGATCTAAGCATCTCTTTAATACAAAAGAGCTCAAACAAGTGACAACCTCAACTGAAATTACTTGCTGCCGATGAAGCTTCAAAACAAATCCACTCACTTTGTGAATACCCCGCCAGACAGCCCCAGCGGTGTGTCGTTGGCCCGTTGTGTGACCTCTGCCTCCGTGTCAAAAGTCAAGAGAGTCAGCACGGGGCCGAACGTTTCTTCCTTGATGATCGTCATGTTGTCTGTCAGGTTGTCCATCACGCAGGGTGAGACAAAATATCCGTTGGCGAGTTTCGGGTCCTCTGGGATGACTCGCTCACCTCCGCACAGGACAGTGGCTCCCTGTGGGTGAAGAGAAGACAAGAATGTTCATGTTCCTGCTCCTAGTATGTTGTCATACCGTGGTGTTTCAATATTCACATTTTTATTACCTTTCTCTTTACCATCAATACTCTTAATTTTCAAGCATCAGTAGTAATATAGTCTTCTTTGCTGTGGAACATGACAGGGCAGTAAAAGTTTCAGCGGGTATGTCATTATGCACTTTGTTCATTTCCAACAGTAACGCCACTCAGAGTCCAAAGAAGAATGTTCAAAAACTTACCTGCTGAACTTTCCCCTCAGTGGATATTACACTTTTCGAGAAAACAGTGAACAACCATTCACAACCTTTTGATCACGAAACACGATTCGTCAATAACACTCTTTATTTCCAAAAATCAGTCAAATGACTGATGGTTGGGACTCACCTACTTTTTCTAAATGACAAGCTAGAAGGGATAATTTCACGGGGTGTTTAGCACACAGCTCCCAGGGCCAATTTCATAGAGCTGCTTAAGCACAAAATTTGCTTAAGCACAAAAAAACTCTACTTAATATAATCAGTTTACCAGCCCAAACTGCATGTGATTGTTATGCTAAGTAAACAACAGCTAAATACCAGTCACAAGCAATGTACATCCCATGGAGTTTGGGCCGGTAACCCGATTACATTAAGCAAGGGGTTTTGTGCTTAAGCAAAATTTGTGCTTAAGCAGCTCTATGAAATTGGCCCCAGCTGCTGCAGATGAACAACTGTAAGCTGACATCCTACTAACCTGTTTCTTGGCTCCTTCGATGTACCCCAGAACCTTCTCCATATGCTCCTTGCTGATGAGTGCTCCTACCTGCGTGTCTTCCCTCAGAGGGTCCCCCAGCCTCAGGGCATTCACCCTGCCAAGGAGTCTCTCCACAAACTGGTCCTTGATGCTCCGCTCCACGTAGACCTTGGTGGCGTTGGAACAGACCTGTTTGGAAAGGACGGTCCCTTGAAATTTTGAAATATATAAATCTCGAGTCTCGAGTCCTACAATACTAATAAAAGGTATTCCTGAAATTACAGTTACAACACAGTAACAATACAGACAGTTTGGATAGTGTGAAAGGGTGTATGTTTAAGGAGGTAACAGCATAACTGACCTCTCCTTGCGTGAGGAAGTTGGCCAGCATGGCTCCCTTGACTGCATTGTCAAGGTCAGCATCGGCAAAGATGATGAGCGGGGACTTGCCCCCCAACTCCAAGGTCACATGCTTCAGGTCGTCGGCACAGTTCCTCATGATCTGGTCAAAGGTCAAAGTTCAAGGGTTAGTATTCATTGCCAAATTCTTTAAAAAAAAATTAAACTGCTTGTTATCAAGAATAAGATATTTTTCTTGATATGCATACATACCCAGAATATCATCTGAAATATTTAATCAGCAGTCATTTCATGAAACAATGGGTAATACCACAATATTTACATGATGAAAGTTTTATGAAATGTGCAGTCTTCTACAAACATGACAAACTGATTTCTGAATATTGGCAAATTTGTATTTCTTGTATTTATCTTGGTAAGTCAGGCAATGATTGCCTCAATGATATTCATGTGAATCAAATTAGGTTTTGCCCTTCACCGACGTTTAAACACTGTATACTCAGTCTGTTACCTCCCGAGTGAAAGTTGGAAAAAATCACTCGGGTGGGACTCGAACCCACGACCTCCTGCTTTCTAGTGCAGATGTCTTACCACTCGACCACCGAGCTAACGGAATCGGTTGGCTGGTCCGAATCTGATGTACATAGCAGCGGGTACCGCCGGTGAAACATCGGTGAAGGGCAAAACCTAATTTGACTGATATCAACCCGACGCAAAAATTCCATCTTATGATATTCATATGGTAATTTTCTGTTTACGACTTGTATGCATCAACTGCATACAATAATGACTATGTGCATAAGATAGGCCGTTAACTGTCGCATTTTAACTATTATGAAATTTATTTGAGCAATGTCCTGAAGACTGCAAGACTTAAACAGTAAAATTCTGCATTTCATTTCCATGCAATGAATGACACGCCGATATTCTTACATGTTTCCCTGTTGCAACGCTTCCAGTAAAGGACACCTTGGCTACATCAGGGTGGGTGGTCAGGGCATTGCCAGTCACTGCCTGGCCCTGGACAACATTGAAGGCACCTCTGGGAAGACCACTCTCTGAGAAAAATGAAAAAGAAACACAAGCACTGTAGAACAGTTTATATTCTCAAAATCATTACCTGAAATGACATCATAGCAACATCGCCTCAATTATCCGGAAAAGCATGGACAGTTTTAAATGTTTAAAGAAGTGCACTTTTCAATAAACATTTACCAAAAAGGGATATCAAGATCAAATAGATTTCATACATTTAAGAGGAGTAGAAAGTTGCACAAAATGTGTTCCTAAGAAAAATTCATCGTATGGCCCTTTGATGCCCCTTAGACATTGAAGTGCATGCCACGGGTTTTCTGAAATGTGGAGAATTTTGGAAGCTTTCGGTAGTTTTTTTTTACCAAAAAATTCCCAGAGAGTTAGGGTTAATCTCTTACCTATTAATGCTTCAGCAAACATGACGGCTGTCGCAGGGGTGAACGGCGAGGGCTTGAACACCATGGTGTTACCCGCAGCTAAGGCAGGGGCTGACTTCCAGCCTACCATCTGTATAGGGAAGTTCCAGGCACCGATGCCTGCACACACACCCAGGGGCTCACGGACTGTGTAGCCGAAGGTCCCTCCTGGGTACTGGAAATGTTCACCTGTAAGACAGGAGGGAGAGAGAGAGAAAACAAGGTTAAGAATTTGTTTGATTTATTTTTGGGGAGATGCACAGAAGAACAGTTGATGATGCTTGGTGACCACATTGAGAGGCCGAGTGGGAAGGAACCACCACCTGTGTGCACTGGTTGGCACACGGTGCGAAGTACGCTCTACTTAAGATTCTGAATGTGCACAAACCCACACAGGATCGTTGCATGAGAGTCAGGTACTGTTGGCAATGCATTCAAGGCTCCCTCCCAGTGGTCCCTCCCAATGGTCTCCACAAACTCTCTTTGTAACTGATACTTGAACACAGAGTCCTTTGGATTTAGTTATGTTTTTAAACCCTCCTGCTATTGAAACAGTCAATGGTACTGTTAAAATGGGTGACAGACAAAGCAGGGAAGTTGTGATCACAGCTGTTTTACCACTCACCCGGTCCCAGCTAGTCAATCCTGCTTTATGTTGGCTGGAAATTCTGAACTGCTGAAAACAGTCACTTGATTTTGACTCAATGACTTCTTGGCACAGGAGGGTTAACCCTCCTATGAAAACATATATTGACCCAAGTTGTCCTTGCAGTCAAAAACATTCAAGTGACTGTTTTCAACAGTTACGAGCTCCCAGCCAACATAAAGCAGCATTGACTGGCTGTGGTTGTGGTTGTTTATGTAACTTGACACAGCTATGCTTTGACTGTAGGTGACTGATAAGCCAGCTGTGCCTTCCACTTGCCTGCTTTTGTCTGTGGACTGAATTTAACTAGTTACAGTGCTTGCTTGAAATATGATCTGACTGTTGGTGACTAGCCTGTGTAAAAGGCATGGCAGGGGAACAGGATTGATTTTTTAACTGGCTGTGACTGTTCAGATAGCAGGGTTAACTTAATACACTAGTGGAATTAACTGCTGTATACTGCTTCATAATCAAGCAAGTTCAATTGAGGACTGTGGTTAACCATAGTTCGATTAACTTCGCTTGAATACAGGATGACTGGACTACTCTTGTCGACTATTTGGAACAGGAGCCTGGGAAATGGTTGCATCACTGGTTAGGCCAAAAAAAAAAATACTCCGGTCTCTGGTCAGCGCGCGCGTCGATTTTAACCATGCGCGTCAACCTTTTTTTTTTCTTCAAAGTAACACGGAAGCTACAACAGCGCCCTCTATTGCCGCACCTCCTCAAATGTTTGTACCAAGGAGCACCAAGGAATGGGGAAATTGCACCAAGGCAAATGATAAAGGGCACCAAGGCAAATTATGGAGGACACCAATGTATAATGAGGACACAAAAAAGCAACATAGTACCCACCTTGTCTGTACAATTCAAGCTTGAAAAAAAAAAAAAACAAAAAAAAAAACCGTCGCCGCATCAATTTCGGAACTTCGGTCTGACCAGAGACCGATTTTCTTTTTTTTGGCCTTACCAACAACCGTACTAGGGGTGTGCATTAAGGGGTAGTACAGGAACCGGGTACCCGTTAAAGAAACCCAAGCCAAACATTCAAATCTCGGAAGTTGCTGTTCAGATTGTTCATAAAGGTTCGCACGATAATACTACCATATCGGTGCAGCAATACAGCAAGATAGGGTGTATACAGTGAGCTCTTTAGCTATGTGGTGAAAACTGCAACTTTCGCAAGCATCATAACACGTGAAATTGGTTTCGGTTTGCCGTGTATCCTGTTTTTCATTTTGAAATTTTCTCACTCAAGAACTGTTTTTTTCCTCATTTTAATGCCTATTTTACATAACCTGAAAAACATGGGTACACACATTTATACATGTCCCACCAGGACCCCCCAAAATAAGCTGGAAATTTTTATCAAATTTCTCATTATTTCAACAACTAACATCCAAATCCTTTATTATTATGTACACTATATCTCTACTATTGAATGACTACTTTTCATTTTGAAATTTCCCACTGACATTCGAAACATTTCTTTTTCATTGACTGAGAAGTTACAAAGTAATTTGCAAAGTTGGTTATGGGTACTCGATTCCATAATCTGGAACCGGTTCCTGACATTACGGTCGGGTTCTTCGGGTACCCGGTTCTGATGCACAGCCCTAAACCGTACACATCATAATGCACAGCCGGGAGCCAGGATCAAGAGGTTTTGTGACCTGCATTCAACTAGAAGCCTTCGCACATTGCTGTTAGCGTGCAGGCGCTAATGGTCTAAGCTGGAACTTGCTCCTTACTGACCTGCTAGACTTGGTGCCAGTCCCGCAAAGAATTCCAGGGCATCAGTCGCCGAGAAAATGTCACCGCGAGACTCACTGATGGATTTGCCTACATTCACCGTCTCCATGGTTGCAAATTCTTCAACTCTTTCCTGAAAGGGAGGAGAGCACAGAAAAGGAAAACTTAATAATCAGAGTGTCATCTGAGAAGCTTACAACGTTCTTGAGCATGGATGACTCTGAACATGTTCTGAGCATGGATGCACGTTCTTGTGCATGAATGACTTTGTATTGATGCTGTTGATAATTCAGTCTAAAAGTTGTGACTCAAAATCCACTCAGCACTGTGTATCCGGTTCATAAGTGTGACGTCATATTAACTTAAACCACACCAACTACACACGGAGTAGCATTGAAAATCATTGGAACCATTAGTAGTACAAAGTGGCGACATTAGCCAGTGGGCGCAAGTGATCTGTGTGAGTATGTAACCACTGGCAATCATGGACCTAGGAGAAGGGGTTCGCCCCAGTGTTTTCAGGCAATGCGTTTATCTTCAACCATGAAGCCTGCACTTGTAAGGAAAAATAAAAGAAAGATTTGTGATGACTGGTGATGGGATTGTGTTGGACTTGTGATGGGCTTGTGATGGTCATGTGATGGGCTTGTGATGGTCATGTGATGGACTTGTGATGGACTTGTGATGGTCATGTGATGGACTTGTGATGGGCCTGTGATGGTCATGTGATGGACTTGTGATGGGCTTAAGATGGGCATGTGATGGACTTGTGATGGTCTTGTGATGGGCTTGTGATGGTCTTGTGATGGGCTTGTGATGGTCGTGTGATGGACTTGTGATGGGCTTAGGATGGACTTGAGATGGACTTGTGATGGACTTGTGATGGGCTTGAGATGGTCATGTGATGGACTTGTGATGGTCTTGTGATGGGCTTGTGATGGTCGTGTGATGGACTTGTGATTGTCATGTGATGGACTTGTGATGGGCTTGTGATAGTCATGTGATAGACTTGTGATGGGCTTGAGATAGACTTGTGATGGACACCAGCTTGAGATACAATAAGATGAGATGCAGTCATTCACCCTCATTAGCCTGGCTGCACCCTGCAGTACTCTTGCTCTCTCCAATGCTGGTGTTTCTGACCATTGCTGCGAGGCCTCCTTGGCAGCAGCTACAGCACGGTTGACATCTTCCTGGCTGGAGCTGGCAGACTCGCACAACAAATTGCCTGCAAAAGTTGAAGAGTATTATTAGTGTGCCGAATCAAACTCCCTACCCTATTTTTTTTAACATTTGACATGAAACATTCCATACAGCGGTCTAGTCCAAGTAACTTAGACCCTAATTATCGCCTTTTTTTAACAAGTTGAATGGCAGCAATCATTTTCCAATTGACAACCCAACAAAAACATCAGATTTCACCCCCAAACAGTCATAAAATTTCTAGATATTAAGCTACCTGAGATACAATTACAAGTGGAGATCGATCATTATGATCAAGGTACTAGTATACTTATGGTCGGAATGAAAAGTGAACTTTACTCTTGCCAGACTATGTCCCAATGTTAACAAAAGGAGAGCACTTGTTACAATTACCAGGCCCTCGGTAATTAAATAAAAAAAAGGTTACATTTAACATTACCCCCACTTAGGCCAAACCAAAAAATAGTTCTGCTTCCAGTTTCCCTACCTACCCTATTCTGATCCTTATTCTGACAGCCCGGGGCCAGTAGTACTAGTAGGCCTAGTACCCTAATTTTGTTTATGGGAAACATTACGGGGGGGGGGGGGGGGAACACCCCAAACCATCAATTTCTACCTACCATGTTTTACCCTTGACTACACGCAGACGCCTCCATATGATCGTACACAAAATAAATTGGCCAAATAAAAAAAACCTACCCTATTTTCGAATGCCATGTAATCGGAGCAGAACAATTTTTTTGTTTTGGCCTCACCAGTGGCTGGTTCAAAGACTTTGAAACTTTGTGTGTGGTCCGTCGGTGCAACTCGTTCTCCACCGATGAAGTTGAGTGGCTTCTGAAAGAAACTACTGACCGATCGTGAGGCCATGATGAACGATTCCTGCGAAACTTTTGGTCTTGAAACACCCCTGAAAGTGAAGTGCAGCCGAGCGTGACAGGACAATAAAACTATCCGGCGTCTTCCCAAGCCAGACATTTCACTTGGTGTACGACATGTAAACTGCTAATAAAATAATCGTCACCTTTGAACTCGTGTGCATGTGGTTCGTCAACACATAAAACAGCCGTCGGAATACGTCTAGCCATGGACTCTACTACTGAAACTTAGGTGAGAGCCACTTGGCTATTTAAAATATGTTGCATGTTCAAGAACAAGCTTTCAAAAGTATGTTTACTTATTTATTAAATAATTCATATTTATTTTTTTTCGGTACAAAAAATGTATTAAACGACTTTTTAATCAGTTTGAAGAGGAAAAGACCAATGATTAAATAATTAATACTCCCTCATGAAACATGGAAGATCTAAAGTGCCGAGATGACCTTTGACATCAACAAAAGATTGCGGTAAGGTTGCGAGAGGAAGTCGTGATTTACTTAGTTTTATGGTTTTAGCAAAATGTTTTGGAGAAAATTTACCTTTTAACAGTAAATTATGCAAATGTGACTAGTACCCACTTGCAAGCTGCTGTGACTGTGTTTCACAAAATACATTAATGTAACTTTTTTCAGTTTGTAAATCACAAAAAAAATTTTTAAAAAGTTTTTCAGATTCTGTCTCATTCATCCTGTTACTGTTATTGTGCATGCATAAATGGCAAAATGTTTCAAACGACGTCACGTGTGAAAATCACTTTTCAATGGCCAATGTAGGATCCTCTTAATTGGACAAGCAGTAGTTTATACTCGTAATAACTTCAACGCTTTTTATTTTATTAAAACATTTTTCTTCGTAGGGACGTTACGTATGCCATTATAAGGCCAAAAAAAAAAAAAAATATTCGGTCTCTGGTCAGACCAAAGTTCCGGAATTGACGCGGCCACGCGGCTTTTTTTTTTTTTTTGGCTTTTTTTTTTTTTCTTCAAGCTTGGATTGTACAGACAAGGTGGGTACTACTTTGCTTTTTTGGTGTCCTATGTACATTGGTGTCCTCCATAATTTGCCTTGGTGCTTTTGATCATTTGCCTTGGTGCAATTTCCCATTCCTTGGTGCTCTTTGGTAAAGAAATATTGAGGAGGTGCGGAAATAGAGGGCGCTGTTGGAGCTACCGCGGAACATTTTGGAAAAAAAAAAGATCGACGCGCATGATTAAAATCGACGCGCGCGCTGACCAGAGACCGACTTGTTTTTTTTTTTGGCCTAATATACAAAATGGTGACTTTATTGACAAGTTTTCAGTTGTGAATTTTAATTTTAATATGTGATATCTTAGTGTTTTTTTCTATGTTTCCTCTCCAAACAGCATTAGAGACGAGTGATCTGCACGATGGCTTACTGGGCGATGGCGTGCTTTCTATCTGTGCTTCTGCCGGGGGTGACATCTCGAGAATTCTCACAACGACCTCCGGGCCTTGAGCCAGTGCGGTCCCAAGCATTTGACCATGAAATGTTCCTGGGCGGTTATGTCAGTGAAAAAACCTACAGTTCTTGTGTACAAAGTTTATGGAGAGTCGAGTGCATTTTCAAAGTGTTTTCTAACAAAATTGGAAATGTTTCTCAGTCCCAGATTCATGTGTTTTTACGAAGTGGCTATCGTTACGGCAGTCATTGTTTAGCGCCCTCTACGATACTTTTTTGATACGCACGCAGGTATATAATTATTTGTTTCCACATGTGTTAGCGAGCAGTGCGACAGCTCAGTCGATAGAGGGTAGGATTTTGCACCGCGAGGTTGCGGGTTCGGATCTCAGTTTTGCACTCGATTTTTTTTCCTTTTCTAACCTGAGGCTTTGGAGGATTCTTTTTAAAAGGGAAATAAAGTCCGAATTTCATAACGTTCAAATTCACTTTTTTCCTTCTAATTTTATATTTTCTTGTCATGTTTTTATAACAGTTGCAGTCTACCGTAACGATAGAAAATGGGAAATGCGTTACGGCTGCCGTAACAATAGCCACTGCGGTGTTTTTAACATTCAAATGCATTTCGGATGACGCCTGACGCTCACGCGAAGACGCTATGGGTTTGTGCATGCTCAGAATGCAATTAGTCGTGCGTACTTTTTCGCGAACCAGTATGCACACACGGTGTGTCTCATCCATGGGGCTGTCGAAGGTTATCAAAAAGTGGCCAAAAAAAAAAAGTCTCCGGTTTCTGGTATGCGCGCGCGTCGCCGTAGCCATGCGCGTCGGCAAAATGAAATTTTTTTTTTTTCAATAAAAGATGATGTCTCAAAACCGCCAAACTCACTGGTTTGACTGGAATCCTGCTGCTGCACAATTTTAACGTGTTTTTAGATGGGGTTATGATCGAGAATAAGCTTTATGTGGCTTCTCCGGACTCCCATATATTTGCACTAGGTTTAGTCGGGCACCATTTGCAGTCATCAGCCGACATTTGAAGCAAAAAAGTCAGGTAAAAAAAAAAAAAAAGCCGCGTCGCCGCACCACTTTTTGGGCAAGCTCCATACCAGAAACCGGAGACTTTTTTTTTTTGGCCTTATGGGTTTTTTTTTAACCTTGTCACAGAAAGCTGCTCGGGAGTTCCAGACAATGTCTGCAGATGAGAGTAAGGCTCGGCTGAGGATCATTTTGAAGAAAGCTGATAGCAACGAAGATAGCTACCTCGACAAAGGTGATTGAACATAAAATGACCAATTCCTGTAATCTGAGGCCGAGTACGCAAAAAAGTGCTTAGCGAAAACTTGTTAACATTGCTTAGCAGAAGCAGCGTACCAGCCAAAATGCCATGTGATGCAAGTGCTTGTGACTGGTCACCAGCTGATTTGCATAGCTGTATTTATGTCATCACAAGCTTTCAGAAGAAATGTTTAAAAAAATTCAGAAGTCAAATCAATCAGAAGTCTTCCAGTCTCAAGTCAAGAGACAATCTTTATTCAAATGAAGTTTGACGAAGGCATTCCTTTGTCACTGTTCATCCCTAGCCTGCTCTTGTGACCCTTACTTGTATTTGACTTGTGATTTGACTTGTGTTTGACTTGTAATTTGACTTGTGATTTGACGTGTGATTTGACTTGTGATTTGACTTGTGATTGACTTGTGATTGACTTGTGATTGAATTGTTATGGAATTGTGATTGACTTGTGATTGACTTGTAACTGATGATATGACTGTGTTTTGTCTTGTTATTGAGTGGTGATGACTTGTGATTTGACTTGCGATTTGATTTGTGATTTGATTTGTGATTGACTTGTGATTGACTTGTGATTGACTTGTGATGGACATGTGATTGACTTGTGATTGACTTGCGTTTGAATTTTGATTGACTTGTGATGACTATTGATTTGAGTTGTTACTGACTTTTGATTGACTTGTGATTGACTTGTAATTTGACTTGTGATTGACTTGTGATTGATTTGTGATTGATTTGACTCGTGCTTACCATTAAACGATTTCTAAGTGCTTGCGTCCTGATATTGTGGTTCCAATAAAACTATCAATGATGGGGCTTCCCCAGCTGGATGTGTTCTATCTTAAACACTTGCATTGGAACCGTCTCAGCAAAGTGGGCTAGTTCGAGTTGTTGCTACATTGTTGAATAATCACAATATTTTCACTGCCACAAAGTGTTCTATGGTATACTTTGCATTGACAATTCGGGCGATTCACAATGCAGTGCGTCACCAAGAGTTTGCCACAGAGAGTTCATTTTTCCCAGTGCATTATGGGAGATGGTCGACAAATTCGCAGCGCGGGACATTTGAAGTTGTTTGTTTTTTCCGGTCAGTAGTTTCATAAGCGTATGATTTGAGTATATGTTTGACCTTTCCTTTTCTTTGTATCAATATGGTGATTTTTGATAAGGCGGCAGAATGCTTTGCCCAATCTGTAACAAATTATTTCAAATTGTCTACTGACACTCATTCAAATGGGCCATGTTTTGTCGACCGTAAACTTGAAAAGTTGACTCTCCATGGCAAACTCTTGGTGGCGCACTGCATTGTGAATCACCCAAATTGCCGCCAGTTTTCTGAAAAAGAAGCAGTGAAACGCTACTTGATGGTCAAACCTAGCGGGCGATTCCAGCGCTATGAAAGGCAATGTAATGCTCATGATTGACCCAATGAACGAAGATATCTAATGAATGATCCTAGTCTGTAATCTCCACGATGATTACTACACAATTGAAGTTTAAGATTTGATTCCTTTTTCACGTTAATTCACCAAGTTCTTTAAAGCTCTGTCATGGTCATTACATAAGGCTGGATTTGCCATGGTGTAAAACCATCAATGTTCTTCAGTGACCAAGTGTTTTTTTTTTGCATCCTTACACAGAAGAACTTCAAGAGTGGATCAGCGGTTCCCTGAAGAACATTGACCGGGTCATCGCGGAGGAACACATGCTGATCCAGGATAAGAACAAAGATGGCCGCCTGTCATGGGAGGAGTACCACACCCATGTCTTGGGCGATGTGCCAGAAAACGCTGCGGAGTATCCAGATCAAGAAATGAAAATGGTAAATATTGAATTTTTCACATGGGGGTGGGAGGGTAGAGCAAGAGGGAGGGGAGGGGGAGGGGATGTGTTAGGGTAGCTAACCTTTCCCATCCTGCTGAGCTGACCAATGTTGATTATTTACGTATTATATTTATAATATATTATAAAGCAAAATTGCAAATCTCAGTTCATTGTTTAACACACACTGAAATGCTCTTTGGCATAGCTGCCAACTGTTACGAATTTTTCGTAATTATTACGAATTGTTTGTTAAATTACGAAAATACGATTTGCCACTAAAATATTACGAATTTCCCATTTTCTACATAACGAAAAAAAAATACTTGTAAAGTATCGTTTTTGACCGAAAACTTCTGGCGAAATGTCGCGATAATGGATGGACTAGTGACAAGTCTAATAAGAATGCAGTCAAGCACCTGATAGACATCAATGCAGTGTGCGCAGTGGAGTACTTGAGGACCAGACTAAAACTATTTTTCAATGGTGTGTCATTTGTGTGCATCTCGTGGATGTGTGGTTGTGTGTACTGTGTGTGAGTGCTTTTCAGTGACGATCGTGAGCACATTTGGTCGCTTATTGCCGGGATGAGACCCATCAGTGCGAGATTTTAATCA